AATTAAATCTATATATTTGCTTCTTACTGTTGTATTTAAGTTCTCTGCCTCTATTTGCATTACTTTAGGTATATAATGAGTTTCTGGAAATGTTCTAATTTTTTTCCTAGGCTTTCAAATTTGTTAAAATACAGTATTTTGTAATATTCCATAATAATAAACCTGCCTCAATTGAATCTGTCATAATGTCATCCATTTCTTTTCTTATTTTTGTTATTTGTGCCTTCTTGTTCTTTTCCCCATATCAGTTAGTGATTTATCATATTATTTTTTATCCTCTCAAAGACCCAGATTCTAGTTTGATTCTTTCTATTGTTTTTCTGTTTTTCTCTTGCATGTACGTCTGCTCTGATCCTTATTTTTTTTTTTTTTCTGGTGAATGAGAATGAGTTTTGTTCCTTTTTAAGAAAAATATTTTATATTAGTTTGTATACAAAATGTCTTTTTTTTATTTTTTCAAGATTTCAAGTTAAATTATTAATGTTAAATTAGTCTTTCTTTTTTATTTGCATACTTATTGCTAGAAATTTTCCTCTGAACACTACTTTTGCTGTTTTCCAGAGCTTTTGTTATATCTTCATTCTCATGTGCTTTTAAGAATTTTTTAGTTGGATATTTATTCTGTGGCCCACTAATTGTCAAGTAAAGAATTATCCAGTTTCCATGTATTTAACTTTTTTCCTTTTTCTTTCTGTTTTGATTCTAATTTGATAACATTATAAATGAGGATTTACTTTAGTAATTTTTTTTTAATTTATTGAAGTTTGTGACCTAAAATTTTGTCCATGGTGGAGAATGGTCCATGCATATTAGTGAAGAATGTGTACTGCATGCTCTATTTATACATAATACAATCTGTAGATTGTATTACTCAGATGTTTTGTATCTTTTTTTTTTTTGTTCTATCTAATCATTCTAGAAAATGAAAGATGGTCTATTAAGTTTCTGATTTTGTGGACTGTTTCTTTTTTCAATTTTGTTAGTATTTGTTTTATATATTTTAAAACTCTATCACTGTATCATAAATATTTGCCTTTGTTAAGTCTTCTTGGGGGATTTACTCTCTAATTGTTGTTGTTAAGTGTCATCAAGTCAACTACAACTCATACCCTGTGAACTACAGATCTGAACAGTGCTGTATCTGGCACCATCCTCATGACCATTGTCATAACCAATGCTCAAGACCATTGTTATTGTCTGTCTCTGTGTTGGTCTGTTCTGTGGAGAGTCTTCCTCTCTTTCTTTAAGACTTCATCTTTGCTTGAATGATGTCTTTTTCCAAGGCCTGGCCTCTTCTGTAGTTATTTATAATTGAATCGTTTTTTTCCTCTTCTTTGTCTAGTGACAGATTTTTACTATTTTACTTGAAATTATTGTTGCTATTGCTGCACTTTTTGGCATACTGCTTGCTTGACGTATTTTTTTTTCTCTATCCTTTGATTTTTAACTTGTTTATCTCTTTGTGTCTAAGGTATGCCTCTTGGAGACAACATAATGATGGGTCTTGTGTTTTTAAATCTATTCTGTCACTGTCTGTCTCCTGAGTAGTGCATTTAATCCATTTGCATTTTAGGTGATTAACAAAAGATGTGGATGCATTGCTGTCATTTTGCTATATACTTGTGGGGCTTATTTGGCCTCCTCATTTTCTGTTCTTTGTTCTTTTTTGTATGAACATTTTCTTCTACCTATCATTTTGTTATTTTTGTGTTCACTGAATCTTTTTCATTCTTCTACTTTTATTTGAGCAATAGACTTGCTACTTTTCTTTGTAGTTACCCCAATGCTCTTAAAATTAAAACTATCTATTATATCGTGAAATTGCCTTGACTTCCTTTAAATACAGAAATTGTAACTACAGCTTTTATTCCATTTTGTTGTTGTTGTTGTTTTGAAGTGTGATCATTTACAACTTAATTCCTTTAGTTCTCAGTAGCTCCTTTTATGGCTTTATTTTGCTTTTGACAGTCTTTATCTGGGTGAGCTTTTTGTGTTTTTATTTCAGATTGCTGTCTGATAACATAGTTATTCCAAAGGTCCCTAATATTTCTTGTAAAAGTAGCCTGTTTTTCAGAGACTCCCTTTGCTTCTTCTTACTTGGGGCTATCTTAGTTTCATCATGATTTTTGAAAGACAACCTTACTGAATCTATGATGCTTGGTTGGCAATTGGTTTCCTTTGGGTGTGTGTGTGTGTGTGTGTGTGTGTGTGTGTGTGTGTAATATCTCTTACCTCTGTTTCTCTGGCATTTGAATTCACCAGTAGCTCAGCATGTCTGCAGGAGAAGGATGGGCAGTCTCCTCCCAGGCAATTTCAAGAAACCAGATAGATGAAGGACCATGAATGTGTTAGAACCAATTTGACAGTAATGGGAGTTGATATTTTTAAACGTCTTCTCTGAACTATTTTTAAAATCCTCCTTTCTGAAATTCCTGTTCCTTGCAAATTATTCCTCTTCATAGTATCTTGATTAAGCCAGCCTTCCCTCCCCCCTGCCCCCGTGGCTTGTTCCTCAAACAAATTAATATCATGGAATTTGTAGGCTATTTCACTGAGTCATTGCTCTATTGATTCCATTCTATTTTGTCCTTCCCTTGAGGTTTCTCTGCTTAATATTTTATTGTCCATCACCCAAATGTCTAGTTGTTGTAGGTTTTTATTTTAAATTTTCTAATTATCTATTGATACTATCATTTTCTCCTTATGTTTTTTCCTGAATTTTTCTAGTGTTTTGTTTCTGTTTTCCTTTTGATGGTCTTAAATGTAAGTCTTTGAATCCGCTCTCAGCTAATTCTATTATTATTATTATTTTCTTCCTCTGGCAGTTTTTCTCTTTCATTTTGCTCACCTGTTTAACCCATCTTATCCTGCTTTTCTTTCAAATTTTTTATTGTTTTCTGTCTTTAAGACATTAAAGTGTTATTATGTATGTGTTGGTTTTTTTTTTTTACCTGTTTGTTTTGTCCTGATTTTTTGTTTTGTTTTGCTCTGATAAATCAAGCTGGGAGAGACACATGTTTTCCACTGATCACTGGTTTATAGCACAGGAATGTTTACTGTCTGTTACTCAGTGGATAGAGCAGCAAGAGGCCGGAATGTTCATTTCTACTCACCTCACATGAGACCCTACTGGAGAAAGTGTGAGTGGGTGGAGCTCAGCACCTTCCATTTGTCTAATGAATGGGAGCACTTGATGATATTTACTGTGTAGGTAAGCTGGGATTTTTAGTGGGTATGGATGGTATGTGACTAGGAGGGTAAGAACGTCACTCCTACTTACCTGGTGTGTAAAGTGGCAGGCAGAGGGTTATGGCAGATGACTAATAGCTTGAAAGCCTTGTCTACTATCCACCAATTGGGGAAAGCAACATGTGAGTGGTGTGGTAGATAAGCAGGGACACTAGGGTGATCTCTGATGCTCACAGGGTAACCAGACAGTGGCCAAAAGCCAATGACAGGTGAAAGTCATACAGGAATGCTTACGCACAGTCACCAGCCGGGAAGAGCAGGGGGATGGCAGACAAGAGCCAGCGGGAGAAAAGGTGAGACTCATACCATGGAGCTTTGGCAGACATGGTAGTGGGTTGGAAATGGTGGCTTCATTCCATTAATTATCAAAAAGACAGGAGAGTGGGAGTGTGCCCTCATTTGCCCAGGCATCAGTGTCTAGGCACTTTCTGTTGAATACAGAGAGAAATTGAGACCTGGGTCCAATCAAGTACAAGGAGAAAGCCTTGAGTCCAATTGGATGGATGACCTCCTGCCGACACTAACCCATGTGTGGCACCTGTGGTCCCTGGTGGCCATGGATCATCACTGTTGATCCTCCTTATCTCTTATCCCTGATTTCTTCCCTATCTACAGACATCAGGATCTGTGGGACACATGCTCTCCTTCCTACACTTTCTCTCATTAGATCCAGTTTCCTCCTTAGATCCAATTCATATGTCACTCCCCCTCTTCCTTGTATATTTGTCTACATGGTTCTTCTGTCTCCTGCTGGGAATTCTGTGAAGTTACCTTCCTATAGCCCTCACCCAGGCCTGCTGGTGGCTAGGATGCATCGCTCATGCCGTGCAGGCCAGCTAGCAGGGTGCCTCACTTCCCTGTCACTCCTCATCCTCTATTTTCATTGTGCTTCTATTTCAGTCAGTAATTAATCTAATTATTACGCTTCAGTTTGATGCACAAGGTTGCATAGCTGTCATCTGAATCTGTTTCACTTGGTTTTGTTTTATTGTTGTTGTTGTTATTATGTGCCATCGAGTCACTTGCAACTCATAGCGACCCTATGTACAACAACCCTAAACCCTGCTCTGTCCTGTGCCACTCGCACTGTCTCTGACACACCCATCCCGATTACCCCAGTCACTGAATCAATCCACCTCATAGAGGGCCTTCCCCTCCTGCGCTGCCCCTTCAGCCTACCAAGCATGATGTCCCTCTCCAAGGACCTGTCTCTCCTTACAACATGTTCAAAGTATGTCAGACGAAGCCCCAGAATTCTTGCCTCCAAGGAGCCACCCTGTTTAACCCTTTCCAGGATGAATCTGTTCATTTTCTTGGCAGTCCATGGTACATTCAATACTCTTCTCCAGCACCACAGCTCAAAGGCATCAATTCTCCTTCTATCCTCCCTGGTCATTGTCCAACTCTCTGATGCATAACAAGTGATTTTTTTTACAGTCTTTGCTATTAAGGCATGGCATGCTATATATGACTTGGATTGTCTTCCCTAAAAGTCAGATTAGCTTGCCATCTGCATTCATCTTTGATTTCTAACCCCTTTCAGAATATGCATTGTCAAATATCTATTAATAGTATGAAATTACATTATATCAAATTAGACATTATCTTGCAAAGCCCCTTGAACACATAATCATATTCAAACTTAAACTATAAAATCTAGCATATCTTTCCTGTTAGAACATCATAAGATAATTATAAAATTAATACTGTTATGATGAATGCTAACTCATTTTTTTTGTTTCCTTCCTTAGTGGTTATGTCTTTGACTATGATTACTACAGAGATGATTTCTACAATAGGTATGTGAACATATTGTATTTTTCTCCATGTAATTTGAATTATATACCTTTTTAACTATTTTCAACATCCCAATCATAGATACACTTGGCTATTGGGCTTAAAACAAATAAGTTTAGAGTTACAAGAAAATATTAAGTTTTAATAAAATAGACATATTTTTATATTTCATTATACTTACTAAGATATAGCATAATGTATGTATTTTGAAATTTCAGGATTTGGAGGTGCCTATACTTAAATATTGGCTTAGAATACTATCATAGCATTATAAAAAATTCATTAATATTATTTTTCTAGGTCTATTGTTCCTTTAAAATACTTCAAGATTGAGAAATTTCCAAACTCAGAAAATAACCTCACCTTCTAATGTACATCTGTTTTTGTAAGACTAAGATATTACTTTTCTTGAGTGTGAACTATACCTTAGAGTAATTATATAGACAGACAGATCAATTAGATGATAGGTCTATCAATCAATAAATCTTATCTATTGAAGAATAAGGGCCTTAATAAGTCAAATTATTATGATCTCATGATTTTAGAGACATCACATTACGCAAAACTGCCAACTGTGAACAACTGTCAAAATTATCTGTCCTACATAAAGTCTATGTAGCTTGTGAGTACACAGTAATCTGTATGGCGGTATTGCTAACAGACTGAGTGTTCTGCACTATTATGAGTTTGATTACTATTTTTTGCACTTAGCAAAAATGATAAAAGCTTCTGTCACATGTAGATATACTTGGGAGTTCCCTGTGAACATAAAATCCTATAAAAATAAAGCAGAATGCACTGACTGAACAAATAAGTAGCTTCCAATGTTATCACTGATATTTTGTTCATTTCATTCCTCTTAAGTTCCTTTTCATTCCTCTTAAATTATACTCTACTGATATTTATGGTTAATATTTTCTCTTTTTGCTAGTGGTGCATCTTATACAAGTTGTTAATATTGTAAACATTATGATTTCTGTAATTTCTATGTCATAAACTTTTTCTGAGGGTTAAGGGAGCTAGCACATGAACAGTGTATACACCTTAGAAATGAGGTTAGTGAGTCTTCTTCTCACATCCTTTTCATGCATTATCAGGAAGGGACAGTCCCTGGATAAAGACAGAATGTGTGGTAAAGGAGAGGATAAGTGAAAAAAAGGATGAAACTTCAATGCAATGAATTGTCACAATGGCTGCAACAATGGCTCAAATAGAAAAATTGTAAAGATAACCAGGACTGAGTAGTGTTTTGGTTTTTTTGTCCATGGGGTAGCTGCAAGTTGGAGCCAATTCTGTGGCGCTAACAGCAACATGTATAGTGATAAACATTTTACTTGGGATACAATAAGGGCTTCGTCAATGTTAGCTACTTTTTAAAAAAAAATTATTATTTTTGTGTGTGTACCATCAAATCAGATCTGACTGGTACAAGAGGAGATTGTCCCTCCTTCTCCAGTAGAGCATCTAATGGATTCAAATCGTGTACCTCTGGGATTTCAGTGTGGCTTCTTGCCACTAGGCCACCAGAGCTCCCCATTAGCTACTTCTTGTTGTTGTTGTTGTTATGTACCACTGAGTCAGAATTGACACATGGCTGACCCCCTACTATATTTTCAGAGGTAAATCACCTCTGAAGAAGATTGTTCCCCTTTCTTCCACAGAGCAGCTGATGGAGTCAAATTGTGTGTTTTCAAGTCAGCAAAGCAACTCTACCACTAGGCTAGCAGAGCTCTCTTGTTAACTACTACAGTTAATAATTGTTAACAGTAACAGGAACTCTGATGCCATAGTCTGTAAGGTGTTTTTCTGCTAATCAACAGGCAAATCTACCAGCACTTCATGAAAGAAAGGTAAGCTATCTACTCCTATATCATTTATAACCTCTTGGAAACCTGCTAGTGGCTCAGCTATGAGTTGGTTTTGACCCAATAGCCATGAGAGATGAGAGAGAGGTAACTATGAGGAAAAGCAGTGGTGGTTCAGTGATACAATTCTTAATCTCCCACTCTGGAGACAGTGGTTCAAATCCACCAGCTTCTCTTCAAGAGAAAGAGACAGCCTCTTCCCCTACTATTTATGGCTTCTGAAAATCCACTGGATGGTCAGCTATAAGTCGATTCCATCTCAACAGCACATAACAACAGCAATAAGTAAACTTTTCTTAACAGGAAGAAGAAACATTCCAGAGATACTTTAACCTATAGAACTAGAAATAGTATTCATTTTAACTCTTGAAAATGGGCATTGTTCAATTTTGGAATTATTTTGACCTTGGTTATGTTAATTAAAAGAATCAAAAGTCACAGAGGGTTACAATTAATAAGAAGGGGGGGAAGAACCTGTTAAGTCAAGTTGCAGTTGTTTCAGGCCATTGGTTATAGAGCACAATGTATATTCATGAATATTGGAAAAAAGCATATTAACAAAAAGCAATGTCTGTTTCTTTATGCAAATTTAAATTACCATCTGGTAGAATAGTCTTCCAGTTAAAATGTTTGTAAACAGCAGCGTGGCACAATGAACAAAAGGCATGATTTGAAGTCAGAAGATTTGAGTTGCAACCCTTTTTGCACCATGTGTTGACTGACTAAACATGACCAAATCATCTTATCCCATTTTTGGTAGTTTCCTTCGTGGGCAAAAATGTTTTAATAGCATCTACTTTGCAGAATTATAAGAATTAAAGAAGAAAATTATCATATAACTGATTTAAACATTCACAATGGCCATATGAACATTAATTTTGTAATGATATAAATTATCTACACAATCCATCTGCAAAAAGAGACTGATACAAGGGATTTAAGCATATTTGAGACTGTAAGGATGGCACAGGAGAGCGAAAGTTTAGGTCAGGTGTTTATCAGGTATCTGTGGATCTTTGTCGTAGAAGTTTAAGGAATGCAGCCTTTGGTATGTCTTGCATCTCAATGTCAAGAAAACAAAGAGTCTTTCCACTACAACATCATGATGGAAGAAGAGATTTAAACTGTCAACAATTTCATCTTACTTGGGTCCATAATTAATACCCTTGGTAGTAGCAGTCAGGAAATGAAGAGGTGTGTTACACTGAGAAAGTCTGATAGTTTGAGAACTTTCCAAATTAGTAAGGAATAATGATGTCAATTTGAGGACTAAGGTTCATCTGATTCAGGCTGTGGTCTTTCTGATCACTTGCTCTGCATCTTGAGCTGGATCATTAATAAGGATAACAGAAGAATTGATGCCTTTGAGCTGTTGTATTGGAAAGGAGCATGAAACATCCCATGAATGGCCAAAGATCAACTATCTCTTGGAAAAGGTACAACCAGAGTGCTCTTTGGAGGCAAAAATGATGAGGCTTAAGTTCATCTCACATATTTTAGGCATGTTGCTAGGAGGGGTATTCATTGGAGAGGGACATAATCTTGGAAGAGTGGAGAGTCAGCGAAGGAGTGGAAGACCCTCGTCCAGATGGATTGACACGGTGACTGCCACAATGTGCGCTAGTGTGTCAGAAAGTGTGAAGGTGGCACAGAATAAGACAGAGTTCATATCTGTTTTTCATAGGATCACTAAGAGTCATACTCAATTCGTTGGCAGCTAACAGCAACATGAATAATAGTTGACTCGATGGTATCTAAAAACAACAACAATCTACAAAATCTAATAGATAATTAACTTAGATAACAACAAAAGATTATTTCAGTATAAAAATGCCACCAAAAATCAAATTACATTCTGAAGATTATTTTCTTTAAAACCATATTCAAGAAGTATTTGCACACAATCCAGAGGAAAGACTTCACTGAAAACACTGTGGTTATTGTTGTTGTTGTTGTTGTTGTTATTGTTATATGCCATCGAGTCCCTTGCAACTCAATATGCACAACAGCCCTAACTCTGCTCTGTTGTGTGCCAATAGCACTGTCGCTGACACTCCCATCCCGATTACCCCAGTCATGAATCAATCCACCTCAGAGAGGGTCTTCCCCTCCTGCGCTGTCCCTCCACCCTACCAAGCATTGTTGTTGTTGTTTGTTGTTATGTGCCATCGAGTTGTTTGCGACTCATAGCGACCTTATGTACAACAGCCCTAAACCCTGCTCTATCCTGTGCCAATCTCATTGCCTCTGACACACCCATCCCGATTACCCCAGTCACTGAATCAATCCACCTCATAGAGTAGGTCTTCCCCTCCTGCGCTGTCCCTCTACTCTACCCAGCATGATGTCCCTCTCTAAAAACCTGTCTCTCCTTACAACATGTCCAAAGTATATCAGACGAAGCCCCAGAATCCTTGCCTCCAAGGAGTAGCCTGGTTTAACCCTCTCTAGGATGAATCTGTTTGTTTTCTTGGCAATCCATGGTACATTCAATACTCTTCTCCAGCACCACAGCTCAAAGGCATCAATTCTCCTTCTATCCTCCCTAGTCATTGTCCAACTCTCTGATGCATAACAAGTGATTGCAAAATCCATAGCCTGTATCAGGCGCACCTCTATGTACCAAGCATTAGAAAAGTTTAATAAGTTTTAAAGCAATAAAATTTATCCACTTGCTGGTTTCGGGTGAAGTGAACCTTTCAAAACTATTTTGAGATTCACTTGTAATCAAAGGTTATTTAAAATCAAAGTCAAAATTATACTTTTATGAAATTCAGATAGAATTGGAAACATACAGTAATTAACCTAGAAAAATAATTTATGTATATTTGAGATTTATCTCTTTTTACAAATGATTGAACACCTTCTTTGTTTTGGTACACTGTATGTCTATCAGATGAGCATGCTGACATGAAAGGTTGGATGTTGAGTCAAAATAAATAGCAATGTCTTTCCTTATTCTCTGGTTATTGATATTAATATATCTACACAAAAAGAGAAAAATATATTGGAGTGTATCCCTAAATTTATTTTCAGGGTTTTTTTCTGGGTAGCCCAGCCATGGACTTTCCTTTGGTCCGATCATATATATTTTTGTTGATGTTAACCATATGGTGACCATAAATTGGATTCATAAG